TATAAGTATTGGTGATAGAGTTCCGAGAGGTGGGACTTCTTTTTAGGAAATGTCCTCCTCTTTAATGATCTTTTTTCAAATTTTGGGTATCTTCAATATTTCTCGAGATATTTGCAAAAAACCAAACCCCCCTTTTTCTACTGAATTGTTTATAACTTTTACAATTTTTTAAAGCCTCCCTTGAAATTTTTCAAAAAGAGGTCATTCCGAATCGAATGAGCCCTGGATCGTAATTTTCGGTGCCCTTGGACAGAAGTTCCAATAAAATGATCTTGTGACCCAGACTATGACTGTTAATGAACGCACTGTTCGACGTTGGTTTGCGAAATTTTGCTCCGGAGATTTTAGCCTCGAAGATGAGCCCCAATGTGGTCGACCTACAGTAATTCAGGACGAGGGTTTGATAATATTAGTGAAGACTAACCCATTACAAACGGTGCGTGGGATATCGGAAGAACTATGCGCCAGGTTCCATGCGGTTTTTGATGGTTTAAAACGTATTGTAAAAATCAAGAACTTCGAAAAGTAGGTGTCCCGCGATTTGAAACATCGACAGAAATGGTGACGTTTCGAAATATGTTTTTCTTTGCCAAACCAATACGACCCTTTTTTAATCGGATCGTCACGTGTGATGGAAAGTGGATCCTCTACGACAACAGGAGACGTGGCGAGTTCTTCTGAACAATCGCTAAACCCCGATGGAACACCCAGTAAGTTTTCATATCAATATTTTTGGAAAGATGGAAACTTTAGATGCATATTTGCAAAATATGATAAAATGGACATTATTTCAATCATTTGTTTTTACATTCAAATTCGAAATTACTTGTTTAGAAGTCAGATTAAAAAAACAATTAATAAATATATTTCATTCCAATCAATAACTTGCAAGCAATTTATGTCGTTTGCCAGACGGAGCATGATTAAGAGGGGGGATGTGGAAGTAACAGTGACGAAGGGAGTCTTGAACTTGAGGATAGTACGGGTAGGTCTACATTAAGTGGTAATAGTGAAAATATCCAGTTCCTGAAAATATGTGAAATGAAATAAATATCATGGTATTAACTTCTGATTCAATACCAGTCAGCACTGTTTCGACCTGCCAAAGTCTCATTAGTGGTGCTAAGATGCACCACTAATGAGAACGAGCTTGATGAAACCTTGGCGGGTCGAAACAGCGCTATCTGGTGTTGGATCACAAGTTCATCGATTTGCCTAACAGTGAAAGCTACAGTGAAACACAGGACGAGTCTTTTTCAGCAACTGACCACCTTGGGGAGCCCGCTTATCTTTGATATTCGACGATTGGGTCTCTGAAGATCCCATAGATGGCGTTTTCATAGAGGGACATGCCATTACATCACTGTGATCAAAATGAACATTGTGTTGAGTAGTTATATAATGAAATCTAGTTTTTGGCCTTCCCCCTTTCCGAATCTGTTAAGAAGCATCTCCGCATTGACATTCATTTCTTTGTGGTTGTATGGATGTTCAGTAGTGCAAAACCAGATAATCTTTCCTATGCTATGATAATGACCATAGCTAGGATTTCGGTTTTCTCGATGTATAGAAACTACCATTTGGTCAAATTTTTTCGTGAATTGGTGAATATTCAGTCTTCAATAAATCAATCAAATATGACATAATCTGACTCGCTATAATTATTAAAAGGAACGTGCTTATTTTGTATGCACCTTTCATCTGACATTGACTTTCCTGAAAGATTATACAAATGTCAGTATACTCTCTAAATTGTAGTTAAATGAATAATTTTCCATGTATGATAAAATTGCGGTGAACCAAGCAAACATCAATGACGTCAAATCCCAAAACATACACTTTGCACTCATCTGGATCGCTCAGCAAAATTCTACAGAATCAGAAAACTACATTCCAAAAAAATGCAATCACAAAGTTGTACTTGGCTAAGAAGAAGCTACTCCCGGTCATCAACGATGTCATTAAAACGGCGAAAGAAATGGGATCGAAAAAACCCCTCGACAAGTCGTACTACCTCACCGTTGACCAGTACAAAGACGCTGTTTGGGCTTCGCAGATCCTCAGAGAGGTGAACGACATGTTCATACACAACAAATTCAGAAAACATTTGACCAAATCCTTCAGGACTAACCGCTTCAACTTTGATTGCTCTGATGTGAAGGTGAACAGGGGTGGGAAAATATACGTGGACACAGCTATCCTGGTGCAGCTGATCGAGCTTCACAACATACTGGGGGAAATCATCGACTACATCCAGGAAGTGCCTTTGGAAGCGCAGACAGATGGTCTGACCGAGACAGACGCTAGCAGCAAACCTTCCAAACTGGAAGATATACTCGATGAGCTGGAAGAAAACACACATTTCTCGGGAAGAACCAACAAGCTGACCAAGGAGATACTAACTTCCTTGACGTTTCCCCTGCACAATAAATATGTAGTATTGACCGCTGAATCGTCGGACACGAGAAAGAACTTGACTACGCTTCCTGAGGAGGGGACTTCTAACTCTGAGGTTAATCTAACTGATGATACCCAGAAGGGTACGAGAAAAACTAAGTCGACCTCTTCTTTGATGGATGATGAGAAGTCACAGGTGATTTAATTTAGAATCAAATCAAAAAATCTAGTCGAATAAATTTCAGTCAAACGTTTAAGAAAATCAAATCGTATTGTTAGGTATTATGATACAATTTGATAAATATTCGTTTCAACCATCTAGTTCTAGTTTTTGAAAAACAAATGTTTTTAGGCTTACTTCTGTCCGTTGATCAAGAATCTGAAATCAAAATTTGGTGTTCCTATCTGATTTTGGAAATACCGCCACTCAAAAGTCGAACAGTTGACTATTTCAAGACTTTCGGTAAAATGACATTTTCTTTTCTTGATCGCATGCTACTTCTATTCACTTGCCACTTACATTTTCTGTCATATAAAACTTTTGATCTTCCCAAATCGTATCTTTTCCAGGAAACTACTTTATTTTTTGGTTCTATATAAAACTGTGAATATTTAAACATTTTCACGAAGAAAAATCCACCGAGCACCGCGGTTTTTGAGGTGACTAAATCTGTTTAAAATCTGTTCTGTCTGTTTAAAAAAAAAATCTGTTTAAAATCTGTTTTTCCGTTAACCAGCTGTCGCACCCCTACGAACGACAACCCTCAGAAGTCGAAACTTGTGCGAGCTAAGAATTAACGAGGTCTTACCTTTCAACGTGTGATTCCTAACACGGGTTGGACGGTAGCAAGTGACGATCGATCGTTCAGACTAGGGCTTGAACCACCGACCAACACGGCAGTCAATTCGAGTGAGTGAACAAAGCACCCACGCCGAACCGCTTGGCTACCGACTGACGAATCTAAGGTTAGATTATTGATATCGTGACACAAAGTGAGTGCCATAAGGAACCAAATATACGCTGGTCGTACTATTTCATGCGTGAAAACTCTAATGTTGAGCTGCAATAGCTCAAAACCGGTTCATATTTGAACCCCGCAGTCATCAAACTATTCATGAAATGTAAACTTTCACTGCCGGGGATAACTGTGTGGTTTGCAGGTTTTAATGCCGGACGTTTCGTCTACTAATACGGTAGCCATTATCAAAGACGATGTGGTAACGGTCGCAGTGCTCGAGTTCGGGTTCCGTTCCGAACGCGGTAACTATGGTCCTGGTATTTGACTCTGGTTTTATATTGTTATTAGTAAGCCTGGCTTGATTTCTCTCGATCGGATTGAACTTATCACAGTGTTTTTGAATTTCTATTACCCCCCTATATACACAAAGTCTATATAGTCTATTGAACTTATCACGGTGTTTTTGAATTTCTATTGCCTCCCTATATAGACGGAGTTCAAGGTCAGCTAAGGAGTTCCGAAAACCCTTAGCAACACTAATATTATACCTTGTAGCTCCGGGTCGGTCTACATTTGAACCCCGAAGAAAAGTGTGAGTAAGTACTAAAAAGCAAAAGCAAAAAGCAAAAATATTTTTTATTAAAATAAACTATTTACATGCCTAAATTTCATGAGTACCTCTACCTTAAGGGTAGAGTAGCAAAGTGACTCCAGACAGACGCGCCCTCGCGTCCCCGCCAAGAGGAGGCGCCCCCCGCGATGTTAGCGGGTTGATGCTCACCCAGAAACATAGACTTTATTGAAACGACTAGGTAATGTGCCTCCTCCCGACAAAGCTTATGCACATCATTACATGGTTTTGATATTCAGGTCATTCAAATGAAAACATAGCTGTCGATGTGTTGGTTACCTGGATCCTGCTGGAAAAAGTTCATGAAAAAACCAGGACAGAATGTCTACAAGAAGTTTTCTATGCCAATTTTTTCATGAGCTTACAAACGGTCATTTACATGGAAAATATCGAGTGCTTCGTAAATCAACCCACCGTGACGACGGGGTTGATTATGATAAACCATAACTGACGTGATATTACTAGTCAGCGGACTTTTTGGAAGGAACCACTTGAAGTGTTTGTAAGCAAGCCCTCGGATCAAATCCGTAATCGGCTCGACCTTCGCCATGTCTCGTAAACGCTCCAATGAAATGTATCGATCATTATCTGTCACGATACGAAGCACCTTATTCTGCATCGTTTCGAGTCTCCGCAACGGAGTCCTCTTAAGGCTACAGAACACAGAATAATCGTACAACATAGCTGGCCTGATAATTTGCTTATATATCAGGAGCTTGTTGTCCACACTCAGTTTGGAATTTCGTGCAATGAGAGGGTAGTTTCGTTTAATCGCCGCTCCCGCTCTCTGAATTGCCAGACTCAAGTGCTCATGAAAATTCAAGCGCTTGTCCAGGATAACTCCCAGATACTTCGCACTTTTTCTGTTCTTCCATACACTTTCCTTGAATCGTCAATTTCCTGAAGATCTTCACGTCGGTGAATTTCTTCGTGAAATTGACAGTCTTTGACGGATTTAGCCTTATCTTATTCCTCTCCATGCACGGTACAACTAACCGATCCAGGTGAATCTATATTTGGCGTGTTGCCACCTCACTAGAGTAAGAATATGGCAATATCATCATCATATATGCGTAGAGATAGCTTGACCTATTCTTACCCTAAAATTCCGGTTGACCAGATAAGAATCCAAGATTATTATTATGTATAAAGGCATGTGTGCCGTCCACATTTTCGCGATGAATCCCTCTGTCCAAACGGTGTCAAAGGCTTTATGTATGTCTAACAGGACCATGACTGTATTATTTTTCTGATGAAAGGCCTCCTTCATTTCGTGGACCAGTCGGACAAGTTGCGAGGTCGTGTTACGACCCTGCCTGAATCCAATTTTCAAAAGTCGAAGCTTGTGTGAGCTAAGGATTAACGGGGTCTTATCTTTCAACGTGTGAATTCCAACACGGGTTGGACGATAGGAAGTGAAAATCGATCATTCGGACTTGCGGTTCGAACCACTACATGCTCTCAACGAAGAAGGTACTCACATTGTCTAATGCGGAGATACAGTAATACTCGATAAAACTCAAAATTACTGTCCAAGAGTATATAGAGAGTCACAAGCCATAACAAACCCTTGCGGGTTGCGGTGGAAGGTCGAATAGACCCACTCACTTTTGACTTTGGACCTATATAGAGAGTATAAATTCAAAAACACAGGGATGATTTCAATAGACATGAAGAGGTAATGGATACACAAACAAGGTACACAAACATGGTCAGGTAATTCAAATATGAGAAATCAAGCCACCCCCACTATATTGCTTTGTTGACGACAGCACACTTGTTTCGTCATTCCATTTGGATTCCAGGACATCGGCTGCGGATGCACATCTTTACCGGCAGCAGGAGGTTGCATATCTTGATGAGGGTCAGATAATTCCACTTTCTGCTTCGATAAGTTCGTTGGGAGTTGAAACGGACACTAATATCACAGTATTTCTGTATACAGTAGTTTCACTCAGCGTCGGTCCCTTTGATGTCGGTGTCCAACAGTTTATATGAATATTTGTTATGTTGAGCAGTGTTTAAACGCTTTGATTGCGTGCCTGTCTTGAACTCGTCGTTTGCGCAGACCTGAGACTGCAACTCCTGGGTCTGCGTGTAGAAAATTCAAACCAAAAATCACCCGAAGTGGGATTACTGTATATAGTATACTGTGCTAATATGTCTTGGCTAATATGTCATGTCGCTGGAATTGCAAAAGCCGTTTCTCAAAGTCTTGGAACTGCGTTCCAAACCAGAAAACTGTAAACACCTCAGCAACTTTTGATGCTTTATAAAACTCAGATCAGACGTTCTTTGGTGTATTGTTCTTTTGTATGGAGCTCCGTCTCTAAGCATACCCTGAAGCTGCCGGATTCCACCTAGAAAAGAGCCATTTGCCTGAGTGGAGACGCGAACATCACTTGCAACCTTGATAGTTTAGAACATCGAAGAAAGGTTGGAGATTTGTCTCTCTACAATAGATACTCGAACTTCACTGTTCAAGAACTCTTTCTTTGGAGAACTGCGTTTATGTAAAATGAAATTCCTGAGAACGTTTTTCCAAATGGATTTGATCTCCACCGATTGAAATCCAATGTGAATCACTACTTTCGCACAGGCACCGCTCTTAGAGCGCCTTAAGGATTTCCCTGTAGTGCTTGTGTTCTGTCCTTAAAAAATAATACTATAAATTCAGAGTCACAGTCAATGCGTTCGAAACAACTGGAACGACAACTCGAACACCAACTCGAGCACTGCGACCTCTACCACATCGCCTTTGATAATGTCTGCCGCAGTAGTAGGCAAAACTTCAGGCATAAGAACCTGCAGGCCACTGCCAAAAAAACACATTAAACTACTGTTCTCTTCAAAAACAAACATTTTCCCGAGTTTTAGGAAAGTTGACGAATATCCAAAACTCATATATTGTGTGAGTAGTCCTTTATATAGCCGTTGATTTCATATCTGATTCCACATTTAATTCTATATTGGAAGTTTTAGTAGTGTTTCATTTAAAAGAAGACTTTAGAGCAAAGCTAAGTTTGGCAACATAATTAAAATTTTTTGACTTAGACTTTTCTTGATATACAGGGTGTAGCTAAATAAGTGTAAAACATTTGAGGAGGTGATTCCTCATCGAAAAAAAGGTAGGATCTTTCATATAAAGAAGTTTCATTGGAGCATTCCTTGTTAAGATACATCCCCTTAAAGGGGGTACATTTGTATTACAATTTTTTTCACAAGCACTGAAAAAGTTACAATATTGAAATTAACCTGAGGTTACCAAAAAGACGCTCAGTCAGAAATTTATTTGGTTTACCCCATGGTTGTAAGGGGTGGAAAACGCAACCCCTAAAATTTATTTCCAATGTAACTTTTTGTCTTATTATTTGTTTACCATTTAAAAAGGGCGAATGACAATGGCCTCGTAGACATCGGCGGATAAGAAAGTTTGGAGTTTGCGACTGCGCCTTCCATCATGACGTACGCGAGAGAGTCGACAATATTGACGTTTTTTGCCATAGGCGGGTGTCGGGATCGGATTGAGGGATATTTCTGTAAGTCAAAAGTAATACTACAAGACCTTGAAATTTCATCGATATGTTTACAATTTTTCAAAAAAAT